TAGCACACCCAGGTTTTTCCTTCCTCTCCTGAACTGTGATCCTGGTGTCCAAAATACAGCAATTTATCTGTCTATTCTATGGAGCTCTAATTTATTTACCAAATCCAAGTCTACCATCTATGAAGTCAGGATAACCCACTCACTCCAGGACACATCCTGAACAATCCCTTGGCACATTTGTGAGTTGGGAATATAATCTATTTTAATGTAGACAAAAATGCTTCCAACAATCCTGTATGCTTCCAAGAACTCTGCAATAATTACTCTGACAATAGAGTGTTTAAACCAAATGATTATTAATTTTTTAACAATTATCTCTTTTATCTGTAAATCAGTTATTAATCTTTAAATATTAGCATTTCTTATCCAAACAGTCCTTACCCCTTTGAATATAACAGAAACAGCTTGACTACGTTTGCTCTTCTCATTTGGCTGGCACCTTGCAGCTTCATTTCTGCTCCAAATATATTTGGAGTACAGAAGCCAGGTGTCTTTTTGTCTGTCAGAAAATCCCTTTTACAGTTAATTTTTTTTTCCTGCTCCATATTATTTGGAACTGAGTTCTATATTGAAGTGATTACAGGGATATAAAACAAGCAATATTATTTGCATCACCATCTTTTAAACACTTCAGTTCATTCCTGAGAAAATGCACAGCATAGTTAAACTGAAATTGCTTTGATCATTTTTGTGGCAAGTGATTTTATAGATCATATATCTTTCAGAGCATACAGAATTGTTTAATCCCATTTAGCTTTTCTATTAATACTTTGTGTCTTTTTCTGACAGGTTTCTATTATTTTTCTTACCTCAAGAGATCCATCTTTCTAAATCCATTTTTCTAGATACTTTTACATGCATCTATGTGTGCCATTAGTGTTCATATTTACAACTGAGAAAAGGATATCTTTCACAGTTATTCATCAAATGATGTGGAAGAACATTTGAGTATACCAGGAAAATATGATTAAATAATATTTTCATCATTTATCTTTAGTGCAAGAATAGCCATCATGCATTTAAACACCCAAATCTCCTGTAGGCTCTAAGCCTGAGATAATCTATTGATATGCACAAGGGCCTGTTGCTTAAGCACTGAACAAAACAAATACGAGAGAAGTAAAGCTTCTCTTTGTTGACCAGCTCTCGCTAGATGGCGCTTGTGAGATGCATGGAGCCAGTATGGGACCCTCATTCCCACACTGATTTATTATTTAGTTGTGTAATAGGGATTGCTGGCTTAATGAATAGTAGGTTTTGCCTTTCCCTCCGTGGGGAGCAGTAAAGCGTATTACGTGTCTTCAGATTCACTGCTCTGATTTTTCAACCCCATATATATGTATTCCTGTACTAATGGAAAATGGGCTGGCACTTTTTCAACCCCTCCATGTTTTTTTTTCTCTGGTGTTACAAACCAGTTGCAAGCTTTTTGCTCTCAACACCACTTTAGCCATTTCTCTTGAATGCCTCTAGGCAGTGATCCAACATAAACAACAGCATCAAGAAGACATGGATTAACTCTCTTATTCGCCAAATGCTTGTTAAGCAGTTTAAGCATCGGAACCTGAAATCTGTGTCTGCTTTCCTCCCCTTCCCCCAAGGAATTTATTTGCTCTTTGTGGTCTATGTATTTATCCTTTGAATGACATTGGAAGAAAGATCTATCTTTCTGTTTGCAGCGCAGGCTGTAGGGTAGAGATAACGACACCAAAAGTACATTCATTCCTACGCTGAGTGTTGAAAATATAACTTAAGTATAAAGAAGTGAATTAAAGCCTGGCTCTTAGTAAATGATTCTCAAAAGCGCCTGTGTGATTTTGGAGCCCAAACCCATGTTTCTAAATCATTTAAATGTGTTGGAAAATGTCCCCTTCAGTCGGAAGAATAAATATCATCTCCTTTAATTTGCATGGGGCAAGGAAACTCAAGCTTTCGAATGTGCCCATGCTCTTGTACAATAAATTAACTTCCACTTAAGCTCCGCTCTCATCGTGACACATGATTATCTATGCAACCAATTGCAAAGCATTGTGAAATAAAATTATTCTTGTACACCATAACCCCAGCTCGAGTCTTATTTATTATCTGGAAACGTGAGTCCTTTTCAAAGAAGTAGCTATGGAAACCATGTCTGATGTTGTGATTAAGCTGACTTGGCGACGGTTAAATGCACATATCGATAAGTAGACACCCTGTAGCCTGGAATATGGGCAGAAAACTCTAAAGGGAACATAATGTCAGCAATTGTGGACAATGAATTATACCAGAATAAATGCAGTGAGGTGTAATCTTCTAGAAATTTTGAGGACTACTCAAAGCAAGACTATGCTTTCCAAAGCACCTGCCGTTTAATTTGCCTAAGTGTACAAACACGTAAGTGTACGTTTTCCAAAAGAGCTGTGAGATTTTCTAGCAGCCGCCTAGTGGTAAACACTCAATTTGCATGTCGGATCTTTCTGAGTATTAGCACAAGATGTTTTCGGTAGGATGTTATTGTAGAATATTACTGGCAGCCGTCTACGTTGCATGAATCACTAATCTACATTTCTGCAATAAAAAGTGTATTCGAAGAGAGGTTAGAATAATTATATATATATATATTTCCTAAACAGTGTTATGCAGTGGAACTCCTGAAAAACATAATGGATATTCATTTATAAAATTATGAATATAAAGATTTCTTTAAAAAAAACCCAACTTTTCTCTTATAAGGTCATTTTCTTTCTGGGGTATATGGTACCAGTAGGGTAAACCTTATCTCATAGACAAGTGACTTTTTCTGAGGATATTGAATTTCTAAGTTTCTGACTCCACTTAAACAGTTTCTCTGTGTTTATTTCTTTGTTGGATTCTTTCATTATTTAGTTCACTTTTAAATCTGCTTGCCAAAGACCCATGTCATACATACACTAAAAGTTAGTTCAATGCCTTTTGGTAGGATTCAGGAGGGAAAAGGAAAAGAAAAGCCAAGCCAATGCTCATGACAACATGACAACTGGCTCTATTTAACTGTATTGTGATGTTCAAGCTCTTCATGCAGAAAATCACAGTTGCTTCCAGATGTGGATCCTTCATAATATATGCTCATGAAATATACTGTAAAGGAATGGTGCCTTCAGGAAAACAAATGCATGGGTTTTTTATGCTAAAGGTACCCATAATGCACTCTAGCTGGGGTCTAAGAATTTGCATGCAGTCTATAGTATTGGACAAAAAGTCCTCAAGAATTTTCCTTAGTTGTAGAAGAAACCATTATGTTGTTGCATTGCACAGTGACAAACACCACTTACAACGTACTTGGATTTGCTATCTCCATATGAAAGCAAGGTTACCTCTCAGAAACCTTTCCAATTTCCTGCTCCCCTTAGTCAAAGGAATTTGAGAAGGGACTTAAAGCTTGGAGTCTCCGACCAGCAGAGAGTCCCTAAGCCTGAAGAAGGGGGATCGCTCCCAAAAGCTTGCAAAGAAACTTTTTTCCCCAACTACTCGGTTGGTCTAATAAAGGATATCTCACATCTGCTCAAGGAACCTTGCCTGCATATGCCCTTAGACCAACCAGCTACAACCAAAAACCCAGCATAGGACACACACACACACACACACACACACACACACACACACACACACACACACACACACACACACACACACA